ACGCTTAGTTTAGACTGAACTCTTTTTAGCATGATGGTTATGGATGGAGGTCTATTGAACTTGTCTTTCACTCCTGAAGGATAGCCGTGCCAACGCTGGTAAAAATTCACTGAAGTTCACCAGTTACCGGTGTGCACACTTAAAACACAATAAGGTTGAGCAGTAAATCAAACAAAGCTAGACATTTGTTTAGTCAAATTAGGCATGTTTTGAACTCGCATGAAAAGCATATATGTGACTCTGGACCACAAAACCAGTTTGAAATATGTCGAGAATCATTCATTTATTTTCCTTCGGTTCAGTTCCTTATTTATCAGGGGTCACCAAAGCAGAATGAACTGCCAACTATTCAGCATATATTTTTTTTTAATGCAGCGGATGCCCTTCCAGCCGCAACCCAGTATTGGGAAACACCCATACACAACAGCCGATTTAGTTTACCCATTTCACTTATACGCATGTGTTTGGACTGTGGGGGAAACCAGAGCGCCCAAAGGAAACCCATGCCAAAATACGAAGAACATGCAAACTCCACACAGAAATGCCGGGACTCGAACCAGCGACCTTCTTGCTGTAAGGCGACAGTGCTAACCACTAGTGATTGGTCGTTCATCAGCAATTTGTTCATTTTGAACCAATCTTCAATATGACTCGGGAACTACGAGTCGTCTCAGGGAGTGATTCGTTCATCTGCGCATGTGCACATTTGTGCAGGTGGTATCGTTCATTTAAAGTCTTTTGAGTCGTTCATCGCGGAAAGACAGAAGCCAATCATATGCGTTTAGAGCCGGAAAAAGAATTGAACCGTTCATCTCTCGAGTCCTCTATCGGGTTTAAGTCATTAGCTCATCACGGGCCAACCATATGCGTTTAGAGCCGGAAAAAGAATTGAACCGTTCACCTCTCGAGTCCTCTATCGGGTTAAAGTCATTAGCTCATCACGGGCCAATCATATGCGTTTAGACCTGGAAAAAGAATTGAACCGTTCATCTCTCGAGTCCTCGGGTTTGAGTCATTCTGTCACGTGATGAACGAACGGCTCAAGAACCAAAAGACTTAAAAGGCGAACTAATTATCATGGCTCCTATCGACTCAGTCTGAGCACATTGGTTAAGATTATGTGACTGTCAGTGTAACATGAACGAACCACTGACATTTGAAGACATGAAGAGGTGAGCTGAGCAAAGAGACAACAATACCTTCATAGACAAAAGAGCAGGTAAACACTGAATTATTTCACTTCTTATAGTATTCTATTTATGACTTATTTGTCATGTGATCAGGGGCGCAACTGCACATTTACTGATGGGTATGCGGCTTCAACTTTTGCGCGCCCCCCTTCAATCCAACTATATTTTATAACAGGCAAGTGATAAAATGTGGAAAATATTTCCATCAATAAATTAAAGATATTTTTTCATAAAGATATCAATATGCTTAAAAAAAAAAACAGTTTCGCAGTTCTGAACACAACTGAAATAGTTTGAAATATAGTAAAAGGTATAATTACATTAAGCATATTAAGTCACAAAGAAATGCATCTCATACCACCCCAAATTTCTTCTTAATTTAATTTTCACTTACTAAATGATTATAGCACCTTGACTAGCCTTGCTTTTGGACTTTTTGTAGTACATTTGTCAAAACAAAATGATAGACATGGGAGTCCTAAAGGGCAAAAGAACATTGCAATTACTTCTCACATTCAGACTGAGGCAGAAGGTCTGTCTTTGCAAGAACAATTGACTGAAACTGCTAAAAGTGAAATAAAAAAGACTGTCAAATGTTTAGTGTAAAAAAAAACAGAAACAAACAGTGTGAAATGTTCTATTTAATTGAAATGTTATAACTTTGTTTGTAGCTAAAATTAAAATAGTTTTGAGCTAAGAAGTTACCAAAAGGCCTGATGAATCAATATGATACATAATAAATTCATAATAACATGTGGTATAAAAATGGGGGGAGGGGTGAAATGATTTTTTAATTTAATAAAATACAATATTATACGCGTATAAAATGCTAAATACATTTTTTTAACAAAAAATATAAACATTATTTGAAACTTTTAATATGGATAATTTCAAAAATAGTTTTGGCACAATGGCGCCCCCCCCATGTGTGGCGCCCCTATGCGCTGCAAATACTGCATACCCCCTTTTTGCGCCACTGCATGTGATCAACCTTTTGGGCTAGTTGTAGATGTGTTTAGAAGCAATTCGTAACATCTTAATAATATTTTGGCAATTTGAACCAAATGAACGAAATGACTCGAACAAAGATTCGTTCATATCGATGAACGAGACTCAAAGATCCGAGTCAGTAAAATTATCCGAACTTCCCATCACTACTAACCACTAAGCCACTGTGCCGCCTAAAACAGTGCAGAAACATCTTAATCAGCACATAACTGTCGAATCCAATAAAGTACCAAGATCAATTTGCATTTTAACTGCCTTCCATTTATTCTTCTTTGATTTTTCACAAGATCCTTCAAATCGATTGGACCTATTGGTACAGCAGTGCCTTCTTTGTTCATCATGTCTCACTGGAGGCGTTCATTATGATTGATTGTGTCTTGCTCGGTGTAGCAGTTTACGCCTAATCAGAAGCGAGACACACAATGGCCTATTCACTAGCAGCTACCCAGTATGTTAGCTTCAAATTAATCAGCTGACATGTCTTCAAATATTTCCTCTCCCCGACTGGAGAATGAGGTCAGTCTGAAGAAATCCTCAATAACCATAAACCTAAACACTTGCCTCTGATTTAGGTGTATTTCTGCAGCACGGTGGCTCAGTGGTCACCTCACAGCAAGAGTTTCACTGTTTCAAGTCCCGGATGGGCCAGTTGGCATTTCTATGTGGAGTTTGCATGTTCTCCACGTGTTGGCGTGGGTTTCCTCGGGGTTTGCTCCAGTTTTCCCCCCACAGTCCAAAGACATGCACTATAGGTGAATTTGGTAAGCTAAACTGTCCATGTGTGTGAATGAGAGTATATGGGTGTTTTTCAGTGATAGGTTGCAGCTGGAAAACCCCAGATTAATAAAGGGACTAAACCGAAAAGAAAATGAATGAATGAATGTTGCTTGCTACTAGATTGAGAGTCACTGGCAATACTGTTTTGTAAATTGAATAAGCTAACTGGCCGTAGTGTTTGTGTGTGAATGTGAGACTGTATGGGTGTTTCCCAGTAATGGAAGGGCATCTGCTGTGTAAAACATTCTGGAATAGTTGGAGGTTCATTTTGCTGTGGCGACCCCTGATGAAAGGGACTAAGCCGAAGGAAAATGAATGAATGCATTGTGTTTTATTACAACAGTATTATTGTTTTTTGATTGCTGCTTGAAATTACAATAATTACGACGTACTGTGTGTTGAAGTTTACATTTATATTATGATTATATAATAGTTAGCACATAAGCATGATAAAGAACAATACTTTTATTATTATTTTGCTTTAATGACTGTAAATACCCTTTATTGGGGTTATTTTTGTGGTATATATATATATATATATATATATATATATATATATATATATATATATATGTAGAACCAACATGCAGTTCATGTGTAATACTTAAAAAAACAATCAATGTGATAATATAATAATAAAAATAATAAGTATAATTAATATTATTAATACTAATAATAAACAAAAAATAAATAAAAATACTACAAATAATTACTATAATTCTAATTATAAATACGCTAAAAGAATAAATAAATAAATAAAAGTTATTTTATTTGAGTAAAAAGTGTTTTTGTGTTTTACTTAATAAACTACACATACCAAATCTTCAGAACTTATATAGAACTATATATATATAAAACTTATATAATAAACTTATTCCAAATTTTTTTTATTTTTTTCAAATAAATGCTTCAACTGATAATATATATCAGCTGAAAGACATGTGGTATAGGCTAAAACTGACCGTGATTTATGTGTGTGAATGAGTGTGTATGGACGTTTCCCGGTGATGGGTTGCAGCAGGAAGGGTATGCGCTGCGTAAAACATATGCTGGATAAGTTGGGAGTTCATTTCACTCTTGCGACCCCAGATTAATAAAGGGTGAATTACACAGATCACTGGTAGAATTGATATTATGCAACGTCGTTACCTTATCAAGCTATAGGGACTATTTTCAAGTCCTGCGTAAATATCAATTTGGCAGCAAAGTTAATTAAAAAGTTAATTAAGTTAATTAACTTAAGTTAATTAGCAAAGTTAATTAATTAATTTAATTTAATTATCACGCCTAAGTAGGAGAACTGAGAGTTTTTGAACGAGATGCTAATGGTCTAATACAGTGGTTCTCAAACTGTGGTACCTGTACCACTAGTGGTACGCGGGCTTCCTTCTAGTGGTACGCGGAGGAATCAATTATGTCATATGTACATTCTACATGTATTTCAAAATGTATCAAAAATGATTCATATATGAATATGGCATATACTAATATTTATTATATTATTATATAGCCTATATTTCTGAGGTCCAGGCAACATTTGCAGGTGTTATTCAGAGCTTTAGCTGCTTTACTGGGCTTACTACGCAATTGTATTTCAGTACTGCTCTTTGTGGTGGTACTTGGAGAGACACATTTTTTCTGATGTGGTTCTTGATGAAAACCACTGGTCTAATATGATTCATTGATTGAAGCTAAACTCAGCGAAATGCTCCAGCTAGACCCAAATTCAGCTGAATGAATTAACCCTAACTCAACTGCTACACTATGGGTAGTTTTAAATGAGACAGAAAAAAATGCAGTGTTCCTTTAAGGTCTAAAAATAAATGTTCTGACTGAAAATATTCCTATTTTCAATATTCTTATTTTAAAAAAAATCCAAGCCATGTTGTCATCAGTAACGCAAATAAAATGTTTTTACTTAAAATAGCCTACCTGTAATAACTTTGAAGTGATATCCCACTAATTGATTATCACTAAGCAGTGTAAAGTACATTAATAACAGTGTAGCCTACAGTAGAGTACCGACGCCCTCCCACAGCAGCAGCAGCAGCATCTTCAGTGTTGATGTTATTCATGGGAGGCGGCATCGGCTGAATGAGGCGTTTCCGCGCTCAAAGTGGGCTGGGACTCGAACATTTCCACTGAGGAGTGAAATAACCAGAGGGGAAAACCCATTAGATCACACCGCTTTAGTCATATCGCACACTGAACCGTCTACCTCGAAGCTCGCGGCGTAATATGAGCGTCAGGAACTCGGATGCTCGATCTCGCGAAAGGTCCTGTAAGAGGAATCCTCACGTGGACGCGGCTGGAGCATGAAAACACATCAGGACCACAGACTCAGGGAAAGCTCCGCTCCTCTGTCTCCTCCTCGTTGACAATTTGCGGGTGTTTTTAACACTTGGAGTGAATATGTACCAGGGACATTCACAGGTAAGCTCGTGTGCTGTTTTTCAACCCCTCATTATTATTGGCCAACGGCGCGTGAAGCATCCCGTCTGCCGGCACGTGCGCATGTGTAAACTAAATGCACAAATTGAGGAGTTTATATTGTTATTGTCCCATATTATAGTGTCACTCTTTAAGCTGGATTTTAGCTTGGGCAAAAATAAATAAATAAATAAATAAATTCACGACATAAGCTTGAGCAGCCTGAGGAGGCGTAAACTCCGAGTCTGAGAAAGGGAATATTTCAAGGCGTTATTTTGTCCCATTTTAACGTCTTTACTGTCTGTACACTGTGTTCTGATTGTGTTTGTGTCATTTGCACTGAATAAAAACATCTTGATTTTAAATTTTCCTCAAAAAAAGGGAAAGTTTTCATGTGTTATGTTACTGTAAAATAAGTTTCACATGGTAAAGCATACTTTCATTCTATGTAGTTATGAATTAGGCTACATATGTATTACATTTTTAATTATCTGCTTTATACCCCTATCCGTCAATATTCTGAATGATTAATTATGCAAATGCATAGAAATGTTTGTAAAAAATGACAAAAAAATACGCAAACATCATATATGATGAATATTTAAATATTCAGGGCTGGGTGATATGACAATAATCACGATATAAGTAATCTCATATTCTGATAACGATATATATCACGATATAGTACTGTTTCTGCTTCGATTAATGGTTAAATTTATTACTATATATAAGCAATTAATATATATAGGGTTGTCACAGTGGCGCAGTTGGCAGCACGATCGCCTTACAGCAAGAAGTTCGCTGGTGTCAGCCTTAGCTGGGTCCGTTGGCATTTCTGTGTGGAGTTTGCATGTTCTCCCCGTGTTGGCGTGAGTTTCCTCTGGGTGTTCCGGTTTCCCGCACCAGTCCAAAGACATGCGCTATTGATGAATTGGGTAAGCTAAATTGTCCATAGTGTATGTGTGTGAATGCGAGTGTATGGGTGTTTTCCAGTGATGGGTTGCAGCTGGAAGACCCCAGATTAATAAAGGGACTAAACCGAAAAGAAAATGAATGATTGAATGTTGCTTGCTACTAGATTGAGTGTCACTGGCAATACTTTCAGTTGAGTTTTTAGCGAGACACTCATCACTCAGTTGTGCTCACTCAGATGAATAGTAGGACTATCACACACAGACGGCAGTCACACATTTGATCTGGGCAGGGGAAATAAAATAATACATAAATATTTCATATTGCAACCTCTTGCGATTAGCTAATCGCAACGATTCACATCATGATTGCGATTCGATTTCGATTATATATATATATATATATATATATATGAGCAATATCACACAAGTAGCAGTGCAATATGGCTGTATATCGGCAGTGGTGGGAGGATTGCGTTGGCACAAGGTCGCAGGCCGAGTGCCTTAGTGCCCCCACCAGGGCCGATATACAGCCATATCGCACTGCTACTCATGTGATATTGCGTTTATACAACAGTTTGACGGCATAATTGTGTATATAAAAAACTATATAGCGTCTCAAAAATGCTTTTGTATGAGGAACTACTTTTTTTCACGTTGGATTCAAATCATAAGCTGACAGTTAAACAACTGAGCAAGCATCTTTTCAACTTAACATCTGTAGTGTCTGCTTTCTGCTGGCTGTATGTGGGCGGAGTAATACACAAAGGGTAAAGAGGCTGTACGGGTGCTGATATTACTTAAATATATCACGGCTATCAAATAGAATAGTTTGAAAACACTGACAGAGAAATTTTTGACTGTTTCTAAAGTACTTTAAAATACAAGAAAACACAAAAAACAAACACGGTTTCCATATTTTGGTGAAATCTTAATTTTTTTCATGGCAAGGTTAACATTTGCATGGAATTGCTCAAATATATATATATATATATATATATATATATATATATATATATATATATATGAACACATGTAAAGCACTATTTCTTTTTACATTTTAAAGTAGGCCTATATACTTTAAAATAATTTACCCATTCTTGTGTGATCATATTTCTCACTTTATTCACAATTTCAGGGTGAATGTTTGAATAAATAAACATAGAAATATAAAATAAATATAAAGCACTTTTCAAAAAGCAACGATTACAGGTCCAACATAAAAAATAAAATATATGCCTTAATATAACACAATATGTAAGCATTGTGCTTTCAAGATTGCAATTTCTCACAATGCTGTTTTATAGGCTATTATGTATCTGTCTGAATCCCTGTAATTGTATTTATTTATTACCATTATTTAACCAGGAAGTCCCATTGAGATTTAAAATCTCTTGTATAAGAGAGACCTTGGCTGCGTCTGAAACCGTATACTTCTATACTATATAGTACGTACGCTAAAATCAGTATGCAAGACGAGTAGTATGTCCGAATTCATAGAATAGGGGAGAAGTACCCGGATGACTTACTACTTCCGGCGAGATTCTGAAGTGCGCATCCCATGCACGTTGCGCTATCCCATAATGCCCCGTGAGAGAATTCATGAATGGAAGTGAGGCGACGCAACTGACGGAGGTAGGTCACGTGACCATGACAAAATCGCGGATGTAGTGCGTTCGAATTCCATTCATAAGCTGCGTCCCAAATGGCACACTATACACTATGCACTCATGCACTATGTACTTATGCACTTACACACTCAACAGGATAGTATATGTATGTAGTGGCGTCCCAAATGGCACACTAATGTTTTTTTACTAAGCAAAAAATTCAAACCGTTTTCCTGATGACGTTTGACGGTTGCCAAATAAGTAAAATAAACGACCAATTATCAAATAATACCTGCCGTAAGTATTGCCGCATTCACCATCGGGAGGTGCTATAATCACTCTCGTAGGAGAATTTTGCTTTCACCATCCAAAATAAATAAAGTTATCCAACATGTGCGTCCGATAGCTCTGCTCCTTCCGCTAAGTAAGCAAACCTGCGGTCGTTGAGTGCGTGAAGTGTCCATCAGTACACACTTAATTTTAGCGGCTGAATGAGTGCATCATCCAGGTAATTAAAGTGCACTTAATATTTTTAGTTTTCTGTGTGAACGCACTACTTACACTATTCATACTACAAAATGGCGTAGAATAGTGCATAAGTTTGTGATTTGGGACGCAGCTATATTTTTTTACGTTCATACTGTATAGAACGTACTTTTCTAACGGCCGAGTAGTACGTTTAAATTTAAATGTAGTACGCAGTTTCGGACGCAGCTCTGGTGTGTAGTGCCATGTATAATGGTGTGTAACACTGCCCATATATAAATGACCAAAAAGTACTACCATACACACTGTATTTTGTAACATCACGAAATAAACTATAGAGCATATGAAACGATGCACTTTTCATTGTCATATTGCACAGCTCTACTTCAGGCCTAAGTATGGCATTTATGTCTGAAGTGGGTCTTAACATGTCAACTCAACCTTGTGAGGAACTTTAAGCTGTTTTAAATGCATATTTCTTTTTGCTTTGTCTTTAAGAAGCCATACACTTCATCTATTAATTAATACCTGACGGCAGCCTCAACATCTGTTTCACACTTGGAATGAATTTGACCTTCATAGAGCCAGATGAACTTAGATATTGCCTGCTGCTGTTCACATGACTGATGATGCTGTGCTTGCACTTCAGGGAACTGCCATCAAGTGTGGTTTGCTTCCGAGTCCTCGAGATAAATATGCCTTGTCTCTCACCAAGCAGTAAATCAGAGTAGTTGTGTTTGAGACCATAGTTCAGTGCCACATGCCTCGTGAACGGACACCAACTGTATTGTACTGGGGTAGGTTTGCAGTCGTTTGCTGCATCATGATTTTCTGACATTTAAGATGCACAGTAAGAGATTGAAAATTATGTTTTAAAGGCGACTTAGGGCTCTATTTTGACGGTCCATGCGCAGAGCGCAAAACACAAGCCGCGAACGCTTTCAGGGCGTGTCAGGACGCGTTTTTGCTAATTTAAGGACGGGAAATCTGCCTTGCGCCAAGGCGCAAGGTCTAAATGGGTTGAGTTTATTTTCTTAATCAGTTATAGGTGTGTTTTGAGAATAAACCAATTAGAGTCTCATCTCCCATTCCCTTTAAGAGCCAGCTGCGTCGCGCCAAGAGCGCATTCGCTATTTACAGGACGCAAAGTAAGTCTAAGTGGAAAAAATGAGCATTTCACAAGCAAACAGTTAACAGTTGACAGTTTTTTTAACAGAAAACTGTTGAACAGAGCATCTACTGCGTGAGAATGAGAGATAATGGATCTACTTTCACTTTCGCTCATGGATAGGGAAACCTTTACGCACAGACATCAATTAGTCTATAAATAATTAATTTCGTTTGTTAAGCGCAAATATTTGTTTCAAAACTATTTCTAAATTCAGTTCTAATTTCCAGCAAACGAATAAATGAAGAATAATAACGAAGTGTGCTCAAAATACTGAGTTATTTCCAAATACACCTGCCATGCCCCATATGGTCTAAAACCTGACAGGTGGGCAAATCTAAGCTTGTTTTTAATAAAACAAATATAAATATGGATATAATAAATAATACTGCTAATAATAATAACATTATACAAAAGCAAATTGTTATGAATGAACTGAAAAAGCCTCCCGAGATGAAGAAGACATAAAAGCAGTGATTTTTTATATTTATGTAGGCTAGAAAATAATATGTTTTGTAATATTTTAATCCTTTATATTTATATTCTATATCTATCCATATTATATCCTATATATATATATCCTTAATATTTAAATTTTTTCATATGTAAAGATATTTGCCTATTGCTCTCTTGTGTGTATTAAGCAGTGCGTAAGCGAGGCGCAACTCTGCGCCGGAGTTTAGACCGGGTTAGTTTTGGTCTAATGAAAAATCTATTATAGTTTCTCAAAATAGCAACGCGCCAGCGGTCCACCTCAGAACGCCTTCCTTATTAGACCAGAACGCCTATGAGCGCACATATGAGCGCTAATGCATTTGCTATTTAAAC